GCACAACAATGGAAACGGCCTTTATTTCCAGACTATTTATTCTTATGACTATTTATTCTTATAACCCTAACCCTGATTTATGTAAATAAAACCTACAATCGAAGACTTACAGGAATGGCTCCCTAATTTGATTGGTCAAAATATTTGCTCCGATCTAAAGAATATATTCATAATATTTCATATACATGTTTCATATATAACATGGCTAACGGTCTTTCGTATAAGGATGAGTTATTTCCTGAGATGACTCCCGATTTTGATTGGTGTAAAGTTTATTTGTCCGTTTAGTCCGAAACAAGCTTTCCTTTGCCGACTCTTGATAAAAAAATAAGTTTCGTGGAATTCATCAGTTAGGATTTGGTTTAGTTTTACTAATTAAATAATTGATAGTTATTATTAGTTGTTTATGCATAATCGCTTTATTATTTTTTTTTAAATAGAATTATTTTTTATAGCTATTATTAATTTTAGACTAAAATTAAATTTTACTAAATAGCAATAAAATTAAGTGATATAACTGTTTATAAACAATCAAAAAACAGTTTTATATGTCACAATTATAAAGTTTATTACATTTTTACAAAGTACAATGTAACTATTGTAAGTTTTTGTACTTCATATACAGTAAATTTTAACTAAACTTCTATTTGAGTTTTAAAACTCAAGTCTCATTGCTATTTAGTAAAATCTGGAAACTCATGTAATTTTTTTCAAGTTATTGTTGTTGAAATCATGTAGAGTTATTATATTAGTAACATAATCAACAGACAAAAATTGAATGTTTTAAAATTCATTGTTTAGTGATATGTAAGTTGTAATATTATTACAACTTACATATCATTAAATCATGAATCAAAATATCTATTTTAAAACATTCAATTATTGTCTGATGATTATGAAAGCTATTTTAACCATTTCATTTCACATAATTCTTACATTTGAGTTTATATTGTAAAAGGCTTGTTTATATCTCATAAAGTTAGTTGTTTTATCAGATCTTATATATTTTAAAAATACATCTCTATATAACAATAAAATATACTAGCAGATTAGTATTTTGGTGTTGAAAATTTTTTTTTGAGATCTCTGTATCAATATATATGAATATATATATATATATATATATATATATATATATATATATATATATATATATATATATATATATATATATAAATATATATATATATATATATATATATATATATATATATATATATATATATATATATATATATATATAAATTCCGCAGCATTGTCGGATACTAAAACCTCTGGAACTCTATTTCTTGAAAAAACACTTTGAAGTACTGCCTTTACAGTAGTTGCTTCACGGTTATTTACCTTAATAACTTCCGGCCATCCAGAAAAAGAACCTACTAAAATCAAAAACAGTCCGATACCCTGTACATGTGCATGATCCATATGTACTCTACACCAAGGTTTATTTTCACTTGGCCATGTATGTAATGTCCTTTCCTTCTTCACTTTTATTTCGGCACATTTTTCACAGTTTTTCACATAATCTTCAACATCTTGACAGTAGCCAGGCCACCAGGCTTCTAATTTTAATCTACATCGCGTTTGCATTATGCCACAATGTATATCATCATGGATCGATTTGATGAAGATCTTTCTCATTGTCTTAGGAGGTACAATGAGGTCACCATTACACACAATTCCTTTTTCGATAGTCAGTTTATTCCTAATAGATTTATAGGGTCTTTCTGTTACCGAGCATCTGCTCCAATTATTTTTCCTAATTCTGCTTTTGATGTCCATCAATACCCTATCATTTTCTGTTTCTTTTATTATTTGCTCAAGGTTCACTATATCTGACTCGACTAAGTGTATAAATGTTTCTTGGTCTTTCTCTTCATCTTGTGGTAGAAAGGACAATCTCGATAATGCGTCAGCATGAGGAATGTTTTCTCCCTTCTTGTAGCTTATTTCGTAGTCAAATGCCATCATTTGTATGGCTCATCTTAAAATTCTAGCGGATGTGACTTTGGGCAATTCTTTGTTACTATCAAATATAAATTCTAATGGCCTGTGATCTGATATTAATTTGAATTTTCTACCCAACAGAAAATGCCTATCTCTGTGAGCAGACCATACAATAGCTAAAGCTTCTCTCTCAATATTAGAATATCTTGTCTCAGCGTGCGATAAAGTTCGTGAGAGATACAATACCGGATGGCCATTCTGTGAAAGTATTCCAGATATAGCTTTCTCGCTAGCATCTGTTGTTAACTCTAGATCTTGGTTGATGTCATAAACCTTCACTACGGGTTCTTCACAAAGGTTTCTTTTTAGCAATTCAAATGCCTGTTGATGCTCCTTCCTCCATTCGAATGTAACTCCTTTCTTTCTTAAATTGTTTAAAGGTAAAAATTTTTCAGCATATTTATCAATGTGTCGACCATAAAAGTTTATTAATCCTATAAATGACTCGAGTTCCTTTTTATTATTAGGAGGACTTATTCCAAGTATTTTGCTGACTAAATTACGATCTGGGGTAACTCCTTTTTCTGACAGTTCATATCCTAAATATGAAAGACTTTTTGTTTCATTCACTGACTTTCGTTTATTTATGCTCATTCCCGATTCCTTCAATTTGCTCAATATTTTGTTTAAATTCGATTTGAGTTCTTCAGCATTTTTAGCACCGACACATATATCGTCTTGAAATATAATCATATTGGGAATAATATCGCCAACAACAGATTCTATCGCTCTTTGAAATATCACACTTGCAGTCTTAATTCCGAAAGGTAAACAGGTCCATCTTAATAATCCAATAGGGGTATTAACTGTTGTTATTTCTTGTGCCTCTTTGTCCATCTCAATTTGATGATAAGCTCCCTTGAGATCAATTTTAGCAAAATATTTTATCCCTGCCATTTTATGAAATACGGTCTCAATGTTTGGGATGGGATATGAGTCTGAGCATATTTTTTGGTTAACACCTATTTTGTAATCCGCACAAATGCGTAAATCTCCGTCTGTTTTTCTAACAACCACAAGCGGTGAAGCCCATCTGCTTCCACCAGGAGGAACCCTTTGAAGCAACCCTTGCTGTATCATTCCATTAAGTTTATCTACCACTAGTGGTCTTATATGGATAGGAAGAGGTCGAGCTTCAAAATAAGTTGGTTGTACGCCGTTTTTCAACAGAATATTTGCTTTGTAATTAATTAAACGCCCATGAACAAGAGGTTCTATACTATTTACTAATTTTGTGGCGTTGATATTTAATACATCCATACCGAATAGACCATGATTTTTTGTACAGTCTGCAACAATAATTCGTACGATATTCATTTTTGATTCGGTTTCCAAAGTTGCCTCAAATTCGCCTAGGACTTTTATAACTGTGCCATCAAACTGTTTCATGCGAAGGTAGCATTTTTGTAATTTCGGTTTAGACATTGGTTCCCAAAAATATTTTCGAATAATTGTGACTTGACTTCCGGTGTCAACTTGCATTTTTATATTGTAGTCATTAATTTTTACACTAATCTCTGAGTTTGTATCATTCATGTTACTGGAATACACACTAGCATCATCGTTCTCTATTTCCTCTACTATTTTTTCATATTTAGTGTTTGCTTTGCATACGTTTTTAAAGTGGTTCAACTTTCCACATTTTTTACAACTCTTTCCAAATGCTGGGCATTTCCTAGGTGGGTGTTGAAGGCCACAATACTTGCATTTAATCATTCTTTCTTTATTTTTATCAATGTAATTAACTGAAGGAAGGTCTATGCTGTTTTCGATGTTGTTTTGTATACTAAAACAGGATATTTGCTCCAGTTGCCTGATAAAGTCAATACATGCTCCTAGTTTAGGCGATTCTCCACTCTGTATCATTTCTAGAGCTTTCACTCTCTGATCAGAAGATTGGAGACCATCAATCAATCTCATTTGAATCAAATCATCTTCCGCACTTTGGCCATCTTTTCCCAATTTTTCGAAGTTGCAAAAGCGTGAAGCTTCGCGTAATCTTTGTGCATATGATACGATGTTTTCATTGTTTTGCTGTTTTAATGCTAAAAATCGAACTCTTTCAGCAATAATTAGTCGTTTTTGAGGTCTCAAATGGGACATAACAACAGTTTTAATATCATCAAACATCATATTTTCTAATTCTTCTGGATATACCATAAAAGAAATCTTTTCAACTGCTTCAATCCCTGCTTTTGCCATAAATAAATCTGTTATCTCGTAGCTACCGTTTATCTCATCTTTTAATTTCTTTGAACGTGCGGAAGCTGAAAAGCATCTAATCCATGCTTCTGCATTATCTGGGTCATCTAAAGTCAAATCGTCCCTTACTCGTAGCGCCATTGTTGTGTCGTTATTAAAACACTGTACTACACTTAAATATATATATTCTTATAAGTAAGCCATCTTTAATATACATTTTTATAGCCACGTATGTTTATATATATCAAAACATTGTTCCTATTTGTCCGCATATGATTCACGGCTTCACATATATATAAATATATATATATATATATATATATATATATATATATATATATATATATATATATATATGTGAAGTATATATATATATATATACTTCAATATATATATATATATATATATATATATATATATATATATATATACTTTAATATATATATATATATATATATATATATATATATATATATATATATATATATATATATATATATATATATATATATATATATATATATATATATATATATATATAGTTATATATATATATATAACTATATATATTTTTTCTATTTATTATATTGTTATAGTTTGCATACGTTGTATGCAAACTTTAACAATATAATAAATAGAAAAAATAAGTCAACCTAAACTTTTTCGATTTCGATTTTCTACTTTTTTTTATTTTTTCGAATGTTTTTTTTTTTTATAAAAATAATTTCTTTAAATAATTTATTTATTGTATTATTACACTGTTAAAAATTCTTTATCCAAAATTAATAATT